AGGAAGAAAAAAAAAAAAAAAAAAAAAAAAGAAAAGGAAAAAAAAGAGAAAAAAAGAAAGAAACAAAAAAAGAAAAGAGGAATTAACGAAAGACGAAGACGAAAGGATTTTCGAGATGCCGTGGCGACGCACAATTTTTTTCGTTAAACGAGACGAGCACGAGACTCGATCATCAACACGTAGCGTTTATAGGATGGCGTAATTAGAAAGTCGAGAGAGGTAATTAGGTAATAGCGTTCGAATAATAATGATAAGACAAAAAAAAGAAAAAAAAAAAAAAGCAACACGCGATTTTCTCCCTTTTATCGATCTTCTTCGTTCCCTCTTGTTATGCACATGTTCTTTTTAATTCCATTTTCCCTCGAACGCGGCTCGCGGATGCGTCTCTTGCTTCTCTCTTAACAAGGGAATGGGAGACAGGGGTAGGTAGGGGATGAGAGAAAGAAAGAGATTAATAAAAAAGAAAGGACGAAAATTCGCCGCACACTTGGAAAAAACGATGCGATGTCAGAGTTTCGAAGCAAGTATTCTTAACATACTTTAAAAAGATATTAGATACGTAATTAATAATTGTCTAACGAAAAAGAGCCAAGATTTAAATGATTATGATGTATTAAACGAAACTATATACGAGTTTACAAAATATATATATATATATATATGATTATATATATATATATAGAAAAAAAAAGGTATATATGTATATGAGGCGAAAAAAAAAATAAATATACATATATTATATATATATTTATGAAGAGATGGTATTATATCGTAAGATGAGAATAATTCGTTTATGTGACAGCGATTTATACATAAAGGAAACGTACTTATATTAAGAAGATACATATATATATATAAAACTTATGTATAAATCTCTATATGGTTATATAATAAATATAATATATATATATAATATTCATGACGTAATAAATACGTAATAATTCGTACGGAAAGAAAAAAAAAAAAAAGAAATAATTGTAAAACGTCGATAACATTCCGTAGATAATAGCGTACATCCCTAATTCGTAGACTATGGAAGAACTCGCTCGTTGTATTTATCGAAACTGTGGATAGTGTATAGATTAACATGGATCCGATTCGTTTCACGTGACACGATTTCATTCATTTTTTTTCACGAGGCATTACAGGCCTCCGCTCCACGATCGAACGATTCCCACTCGAGGGGCGGGGTCGTTCGTCGAAAAAATCGTTGGTTCGTCAATTTCCAGAGGAACAATGTCGTCGCGGTCGAGGCAAAACGACAATGCTAAAAAAAAAAAAAAAAAAAAGAAAAAAGAAATAAGAAAAAAGAAAAAAAGGAAAATCGAGAGCGCATAATTTAGCTTCGTGAAATGTTGATCGAAGCTTCCAATTAAGAGTTCTCGTCTCGTTCATTAGAAATGAAGAGTCTTCGGTATTTTTATGAATTAGAAGACTTATGACGCGAGTTTCAACCTTCCCTTTTGCATTTCATATATGAATCTTTGAATCATTACTTTATTAGTATTTGGTAATTTCAATATTTCTCACAGTGAAAATTTTCATTTTCATCTTGATTAACCTTGTGGACACATAT